ATAGGTGGCCAACAGATTGGCTGCTGCTGCTGCTGGGTTGGCACTGGCAGCTGCTGCAGCCAAAGCCCCTGTAGCTGCTGCCTGACTTAGGCCTAAACCTAATGTATTGAGATTATATCCATAGCTGGCTAACGTATTAAGTGCAGAGGTGATGGCTACCAGGTCATTGCCTGTAAAGCCAGATAAAACTGCTGGAAAGGCTGCCACTCCAGCGAGGTTAGCATGTCCTAATAGCCCTGCAGCAGCTGCAGCAGTTGGTAACACTTCAGCAGTGTTTGCATAAGGAGATCCGGTTGGATTGGAATTGGCCACTGGACCTGTGACATTGGCATAACTGATATTGAGACAGCTGCCACTCTGTGGATCCTCTTGTATCTTCTGGATGATAAGTTCAACAGCTTTTCGGTTTTGTTCAGGTTCTCCACTCACAGTGACAACCCTCTCTTGCAAGTTGATCCCATCAGGTTTCTGGGAAAGCTGCACCCAAGCCCCTGACTGCTCCATTATAGCCTTCACTGTAGCACCTCCCTTCCCTATTATCAGACCTGCTGTGCTGTTGGGAACTATAATCTTTACCTGTAATTAAAAAAAATATATATAAATAATACTTCTGCTTTGTGCATAAACACTATAATATTTTGCTACCCTATAAAAGGAAGGAAAAGAGTGAAGCAAGTTAGTTACCATATTTTTAAAATAAAAAGTTAAAAAAACCCATTATAAATAAATACAGCTTATCACGCTTTTTAATGCTCTGCGTCTGTTTCAAATGTCCAATACAAAGAATTAAAGATAAAATAATAGGAAAAACATATTTATCATTCTCCTACAGAATATACTGCTTTCAGAAGAGTACATTTCAGACCAACCAAAAGATTAAGGAAATTTGGTGTAGCATGAAAAGATGAAAAAGTTGGTCTTGAACAGGACATCTTGATCACTCAACCTGTCACCCACATCAGTATAGAGAAATTCATTATGTGCTACACTATGTTATTATTCAGCCTATGGAAATGAAGTGCAGGAGGAGAGAGAACCTAAATGGTGAAGATTGTGAAAGAATAAAATACTGCATTTGTACATGTTAAAAAGTTTATCAAAATATCTTCAAACTAAGGGCATTTGCCTATAAATCCTACCTTTCCTCCCATTTAATCAAGTTTCAAACCGATACAACCTCATTAATGTCTACAAATTTATTCCTTATTGACTTATTGCTATGAGTGAAGAATGACACCAGACATAAAAAGTCAATATATATATATACATATTTTTCATAGCTTTTGCTTTTAATATACTTTTTACTATAGTGCCTCAAAGTTTTAATGTACCAGCTGTTTCATGATATTGAATTAATATGATGGTTTATCTTACAAAAAATACATTTTTAGTAGGCTATGGATATCCATTCAGCCAGGTTTTGTGGAGTATATATGTAGGGGTAACACTTCAATTTGTCAATCCTTTCATGAAAATGCTATCTAAATCTCAGCAACAAGTCAATACAAAACACAATTAAAATTTTATTAGCAACATTCCCATGTTACTGCCTCATTATAAAGTCAAGCTTATTATATAGTCAAGCTACTTACAAATAAAAATGCATGCCCTATAAACAAGCATTTTCTAGTCTTACCCATTTAGATATTTCCAGTTGTTATGTTAGCATCAAACAGAATTTTTGAAAATGCACCATGCTATAAAGTTACAAAACATTTAAACTTTTGACTATAGAATTTATACTTTAGAAATAACATACCATATTGTATTTTGCACTGTACAGTTTCACATCATATACAGAACTTTTAACTTCTTTAAAAATTCACTGTCATCAAAACAAAATCTATTCTATGGATTAAATAAAAAATTATTAGGTGCTGACCTATTCTAAAGTTAACATGAAAGTGTGGTTTTGAAAAAAAGTTTCACTCATCCAGATACGAAATAATCCTATAAAACCCAAATACCTTAATATGTCTATACATACATACATATTTGTGTGTAAACTCAGTGATTTTTTTTTTTAATGATTTTGTTTTTCTTTTTATATATTTTTAGACATACTAATTTCTAAGTCAGGACTCCTCATAGTGATTTTAAAATGTAGTCCAAAATATCTGATAATTTTGAGGTGCCCTTTTTCAGTTTTCCTGTCAGAAAAAGTAGGACAACATTCTTACATTTTATTTGGTATTTGGGATCTAGATACAAAATATATTAACTAATTGCTAAAAACAAGGAATATTCAGATTTTTGTTAAATATATATATATATTCAAGGGAAGGCTGTTTGTTTGTTTGGTTTGGTTTGTTGCTTTTCATTAATTAAAAAATGTGAAGTTGTATAAATCCAGAATCACCCAGAAAAACTCAATGAAACCTACAGATACTTTATTGCATGGCACAGTTTTAATGATTATGGTTTTGTGCCACATACTACAGAAATAATTTACCTGACTCCACTGATTTAGGACATACTAACAGCTTCTTTGGGAGATTTTGACCACTGTGATTTGCCAGATCCTACTTGTTTTCATAATCAATTACTTAGGCATAAGTTAGGTATAAGTGCTTATGTAAGTTTAAGAGAAGAGCCTAAGAACATAAGAAGGTATGGAAATACACTGTCATAACCATATTGTGATTGCAGAAGTAACCAGAATATTTAACTATAAGGCAGGATTGTAGCACATGTATTATCATAACTACACACGCAACATATGAAAATCCAAATTACAGTAATATGGTGTATGGGTGTAGTAAACTAAAATAATGGTTTAATTCAGCCACAAAATTAAGAAGGAAGTGTTCTGTATGCAAAGGTTTTCTCAGTATAAAACTACTACTTTTCTTACTTGATATCACAAAAGTTTGTTTGGTTCACCCCTAGCAGCTCTGGTTGTTCAACCAAATTATCTGTCTGGTCAGAGAAAAGGTAAAGAATGATCTCCTCCTCCAAACCCATCCACTCCCATCATGTCCAGAAATTTTTTGTACATAACCATACAAATATTCAAGGCCAGTCTGGACGAGGCTTTGAGCAACCTGGTCTAGTGGAAGGTGTCCCTGCCCATGGCAGGGGGGTCGGAACTAGATGATCTTTAAGATCCTTTCCAACTCAAACCATTCTATGATTCATTCTATGAAACAACACACAAATTACGATTAATTCTGGAAAATCTTGGATTTGCTGTATTAATATATGTTGGTCTGCTTCTAGATAAATTAAAATACCCTTTCTAAACATCTATTCCAGAAACATTAGACCATGTGTTTTAACTGACAAGTCTCTACGTTTTTTTAGTACAGGAATATACCACTAATATTCTTTCAAACACAAACCCTGTCAGGGTGAATATTTCACTTATAGGACATCTTTAAAAAATGTAGATGTATTAAAAAAAATGACAATATGCACAACCTACCTTATACTAAGATGCCACAGAAAACATTATATTCCAATCAAAATTCCATTTTAACAGAACATAAATACATCTGTATGCATTTTGCTTAAAACACAAGTAAAATCCTTCTCTTCCTGAAATGAATGGCAACATTTGCATTACATTGAGATATTCAATAACATCAAAATGTTATTTAAAAGCCTTGACAAAGTTGCAACAGTCCACGAAACTGTGGTGCTTAAGCAGGGCTCAAAACAGAGAGCAGTTTTTTGCCCTCAGTTCCCAATGAAGCCAGCAGAAATTTGATGAAACTCTGCACTTCAGAAGAGGATGCTCAGTACTTGAGGGATCTCAGCCATTATGTCCCAAAGACACAATTCAAATTGCTTTAACTTAGCATTAGTTGTCCATATTCACCCTTGCATGCAGCAAAATCCTTGAGTCCCGAATTCTGTATCAACTAATTCCCTAATCCTTCTCCATTTATTGAAAACCCACTTGCATAACTCCGTGCTGCACTCACCTATCACGTCAGCATCACCTAAAAGCCTTCTGATTTATCAAACTGAAAGTCCTGGCTCAGTTCTGGGAGCTGAATACCATCTACTGTGGAATGCCAGATGTTCAGTGATTATGCTATGCCACTTCTCATCCTCTCCCTTATGCTGCAAGGAGATAATCTGCACTGAGCAGATATGAGTGTATATCAACACACGCAAAATACCTTAATGGGAAGCAGAACGATAACAAAACCTGCACTGCTACCCACGCTAATGTCTCATGTCCTCTCTTCCCAATCCTCATTCCCACTCCTCTCATGTAAACACCTCCAACTACCTATGGCAAGTTTTCCAATCCTTTCACTTTTCTACTACCTTAGTTCCTAGCCCTCCTTCTCTCTGATGACAGGTGCTCTGTTTGTATTCTCACTTTTTACATTCTTTGGAGGTGGGGGGATGGCAATCACAAACCAACACCTTAGCTGCCATCCAGCTAATGCAAAGTATTTACCTGGCAAACAGAGTGAAAGGATGAAATACATGATGACTGTCTAGATAGCAAGAATTAACACTCAATGTGGCTCTTATTCCAATTAGAGTAACGGTACCTAAGGAGGGAAAAACCCATGGCTTTAAAAGTTAAGTTTCACATGGTGACGTGAAACATGCCTGCACTAAATTACACCAGAAAAGACAGAGTCTTACTAATTATAGAAAATAGCATCAAAATTTGGAAAATACAAACCCAACAATTTGACAGTAGAAGCATTTAATTGCACCATCCTCTGCTTATTCCACCTCACAGAGTTCTTTCTGAAGAGACTGCACAGATATTAATGAAGCAAGGAGCTTTTTCTATCTGTTATTCATCTTTCCGTTTTCTTATTTTATTTTCACAAGTTTAATTATAACTCAGGCCATGAATCTTCTGTCACAGTTGTTCTTTTTTCCTTCTATTAAATCGTTCAACTACTTGTGTAATGTTATTTTATCTTCTCTTAATAAAGAAACACCTATACAAAAAAAGTTCCATCTAATCTAACAAATTCATCCTAATCTGGCACAATTCTACATTTTAGTCTCTCTCAAAGCAGCTCATTGTTATTCCCTAAAAACTGTATTCAAATTACTATCTTCTATTTTATCTGTTTTTCTGTCTTCATTGCTCATCAATTGCTTTAAATTCTGTAAAACTCCACCTGGGGTCTGGATTCTGTAACAATGAAAAATCCATGCCATGTTAGCTGTTCATTTGACTGTAGGCTTGGAGTTGATGAGAGGGTATTCTGAAAGCACAAGTTCCTGTAGAAAGCAGTCAAGAGTAAAAGCCATCCAGTGTTGAAGGCTAAACACACTCCTACTGTTAGCTTGTATTGACATGAGTAGTCCTGTGCCATCCATCCCTAACCTGAAGTGGCAGTATGATGAAAATCTGGGAGAAAAATCTGGGTCAACAAAAGATATGACAGAAGTCTACTGGAATCAAGCAGAAAGACAACATTACAGGCAAGAAAATGCCTGCAAACACTTAGAATTTACAGCCATGCTCCGTAATTACGGGCAATTCTTGGAAAGTCCCAGGCTACGTACCCAATGCCAGTGACAAATTAAAGGCAGAAAAAGCTATCAAAAGATCATGAGTTCTCCTATGTGTACAGCAGGGAGAAATACTA